ATGCAACATCCTGACTTTGCTCAGCCTCCCGAGGGCTGGAGCCTGGTCCTGTGGGTGCAGTCGTAGACTGGCCTCAGCTCGCTCTGCCCTGCACAGGTGGGGACGCAGTTTAAGAACAGCCTGAGCAGCCTGCTGGAAATCCTCGTCTCCAAGGAGCCTTCCTATATCCGCTGCATCAAGCCCAACGACGGGAAGGAGCCCAGTGAGTCCGAGGCCCTGAGAACAGCACAGCAGTGGGTTTGAATGGCGTGGGTCAGGCCCCTCTGCCCCGACGTGAGTTTGATGGATTGGAGGGTGGGAAGGCCCTGAGTGAGCGCTGCTCAGACACCAGTCGTCTGAGGAGCACCAGGACTAGCCTGGAAGGCACTCGGGTCAGGACGGACGGGGATGGGTGACAGGTTTCCAAACTAGTGTGTGGCCAGGGTGTTTGCCACAGCCTCGCTGAGATCGGTGACAGTCACTCGGTCGCTGGTGTGCGGAGTCCGAGTCCCGGCAGGGAACTTGAGTGCGTGGATCGTCTGGGAAGAAGGCAGTGGGAGCAATGGGAACCAGGGAAGGCATGGCCTCACCCAGCGGGCAACACTCCGCCTCTCCCTTAAGTCCTGTGCTGCCAGGCCCCGAGTGGCTAAACCTCTTTACTTCCCAAGGGCAACCACCAACCCAGAGGTTCCTGTAGAAGTTTCCCATTTACAATGGAAAACAGCCACGCCCATGACCTCTGAGTCAAGGCCGACCCAGAGTCTGCTTGCAGGCCCAGTAGAACTGGCCACTGACTCCAAGGCCGTCACCCTGACCGAAGCAGACTGCCCCATCTTTCTCCCGAGGAGCGGCTGGTGGGTTTGAACCGCGGACCTTCTGGTTGGCAGCCCCAGTGCTTAACCGCTGCTCCTCCCTGGCTCCAGAAACAAAGCCAGGACAGAAAGAAATGTGCCCATGGGCTGCGATCAGAAAGGTCAGCCATTTGAACCCATCAGCCATTACTGCAAGAGAAAGACCGGGATTTCTCCTCCCGTTGAGATTGGTGTCTCAGAAAACCGGGGTTGTTCTGCCCCATCCTACAGGGTCGCTGTGAGTCAGCATCGACTCGGTGGCAGTGAGTGTGGTTTGGGGGTTTGCTGGTTCAGTGCAGCGCCCGGGCGCCCGGCTTGCAGCCTCGGGTCGGAGTTGAACAGGAGCAGCAGGGTCCTGTACTGACTGCCCCCGCTCTGTCTTTCCCAAGGCAAATTTGACTACTGCCTCATCAAGCATCAGATCAAGTATCTCGGGCTGATGGAGCACCTCCGCGTGAGGCGGGCTGGCTT